ATTTCATAAATGAATATATATTGAAAGTTCTTATAGCTAATACAAATTTGTTAAGCAATCAATTATCAATAAATATGAACCCTGACGTCTTCTTGGTTAGCTAATCAATTTGAATTGTTACAGGAATTTCAAGATTCAATTGTTTTGTACTGAATGATATTCAAATTGGTAACATGTTAAACCGCCCATTGAATCAATTTATTTATACGACATATCAAAATAAATGACAGTCGTTTATATGAGGAGCTAATCTTATATAAGTCTTACAGGTATTCATAGCCTTGACATATAGAGGTCATTTTTTCAACACGGTAACTTTTTCTATCCCTTTTTTTGTATGGCGTTTGAATAGGAAAAATCCAAGTTCTAATTAATAACTAGATTTATAAAAGCTGCAAAATAACTTTTAGAAGATTATACCTCAACTTGGATTCATTACTTTTTTAAATTTTCACAAATCACAAATTTGCACAACCCACAACTTACGGTATAATATCATTAGTTCAGGTCTATCAAAATCATACGTTTTGAGAGGTATCATATAATGAGCTGCAAAAATTTAGCACAAACTTGCGGTTTATATCATCCTTTCAGTCACGTTTATAAAAATAATAATGAGGATTTATTGTGTGACAAAATACAAAATTACACATGAAAGGAAAAAGTACATTTTAAATGACATCAACCAAGCCCAAAAAAACAGATTAAAAAGATATGATGAAAACATACTGACAGGTTTAAAACGTGTCAGATTCAGCTGCCCATTCAGAATTGCCCCTTTGAGATTTTTTTTCATAACAAATAAATTATGATACTCTGAAAACATTTTATTTAGCAGATAATGTATTAAGTTCTTACTTTCTGAGGCGTCCTGTTCTTACAGGACGCCTCAGAAAATGAAGAACGGTGGACATGAACAGAAAACCTATCATTTATGTTCCTCAGTGATCTGTTGTGAATGTCTTCCCTTCAAACTATTTTTGAAGCAAGGTAGCATAGTACGGATCAAAGTTCCATAATTAAAATATAGCAGAAATAGAACTGCTCCAAGAACACATCCTTGTGATGCATATCATACTTTGAAATGTGAACAGGAAAAACTTACTAATACAGTTTACTGTAAGATTTTTCACTATGAAGTATTTATAGTGAAAATCAGAAAATTAATCGGTCAGAAATGTATCAGCCAGTTATAATAAATTGTTGATAAACAACTTATGATTTCATTATTTATGAAATTGTTCTTTTTTTATAATGATGAATATGTACTCCTCACCCATATTCATTCAAGTTCAATTAGAATAGGGCCCTTGCCTTTCCACAAAAAGAATAAAAAAAGTGTTTATTGCATAGCAATAGCCACTTTTTTTTATTCTGTTAGTAAACTGTTAGTGAACTAAATTACATTCCGAAATACATACCGACACTTTCTCCTGCCGCAATAGCAATGATTTTGGCTAAAACGCCAGCGATACTGGTTCGTATCGTAGGACTGGATTTTGCGTTATCGTCAAGATGAGCCATAAGAGTTTCCACCACAGTATAAGAGTATTGTGCCTGCGAATTCGATTATGTAAAGTAGCGAATTTACAGTGTGTTCACATGTTGAACTTTGTTGGTCTATATGTATTCTGTTAGACCTAGAATATTTCTCATTTTTTCCTGAACGTCTTTTCTTCAAAATAGTAGATTTTTCAAAGACACTGTTTTCCACTTGCTCCCAAGTCTTCGAGAACTAACAAGGTGACATATATAAGAGGTGGATCATACGTAATAACCCGCGACTTTTTGATTAGATTGAACAATTGTTACACTGGTGTGAATTACACATTTTAATTATGATGGAGCTCCGACCTGTCAAAAGCTACCATAAAAAAGAGAAGCTGCTTAATAAAATAATACCTCACAGATTCGTGGGGAGAACAGTTTTAAATGAACACAGTCAATTAAAATTAATAATAATTAAAATATACCTGAATTGAAAACATTATTATCCTAAATGTATGAATGGCAAATTGGTTAGGGACCCACAGTTTATGCAAATCGAAGTGCCTGAAAAAATGAAAGAAAAATTACAAATATGCATTTCCTTGCATGAATCACAGTATAATTCTGCAAACATTTCAATGATTCAGTTGAAAAAAAATCTCACTTGAATACTGGTCTAAGGACAGCTCTGATGTGACCAAATGATGCTCTGCCAACCAATTCCCTCATACATGTTTCAGCCAACATTGGTGGATCCAAGTTATCATCTGGGCCTACGTCAATACTACCTGGTTCTTTCTGATGAAAACCTGATTCCTAAAATTTCATTGGTTTGTTATTATTATTATATTGTCTTTATTATCCCAAGAAAAAATGGATATTTATGAATAGGGGTTAACTAAATTAACTAAAAAAAAAATTTAACAAAATGAAATATTGAACAAGAAAACACAAGTAATTAATATGAGCAGTGAACATTAAGTTTTGTAATGGGTATTGAAAACTTATAAATGATAAAAAATTATGAATATTTGAATGAGAAAACATAAGTAGAATAATCAAAATGGACAAACAGTCAAATGTGAAATTATCCATATTTAATATGAAAATATTAAGATGATTCTGGCTGAATGAAAATCATATAATCTTGTTTTTTTCATTTGATTCGTTAAACACTGTTTCAATTGATTTTTGAATTTGAGAGCAGTTTTAGATTTTTCATTTCTTCAGGAATTGTATTATTTATTATAATTCCATCAGGATAAATTGATTTCTGTCCAAAATTAGATTTGAAATTACTAATTAATAATGATTTTGTTTGTCTAGTGTTATGAATATTATTGATTTCTATGGAATTTACGTTTGAAATTTTTGATTTAATTGTTATTGAGTGAATGAAACAACATTTTTTTTTATTTTATAGTGTGTTCAAAATTTTTGGTTTACTCACTGTTGGTTCTGGAAATGATAATTTATGTATGCATATAATAGTTTTATTTTGTAAAGTATGCACTCAATCACATTATAAATATCCATTCATGAGTATTATTTGCAGATGAATCCGAAGGAAACCCTGGAAACCGTCTTTCCATGGATGATTTNACGAAACTGCAGCAATGTTGGTTATATGAGGCAGTGGAATTGAAAAAACTGTTAAGGTTTAACAAAGTCTTACCTTTCAACGTGCAATTCTCAGTACAATTCAAAAAGCATTCAACACACTTGCAGGTATTTCTTACCTGCATATTGAAGAGAAGACTAGGTACAATCTTATCCATATGGACTGGCTCCCAGATATTCTCCACCAAGTCATCGGATACTGTCTTTCTCACCACCGCTTGCAAACCTTTGATTCCAGCTATTCGAATTTGGTCTCTTATTTCCTCCCGTTCACCGCTGTGACACATAGCGGAAAATTTGCTAACGAAAAAGTCGTACCGTCTGTGATACGAGGGCGTGTCTTCTTCTATATTCGCGAACTTCACAAACTGAAAACAAAGAAAGAAACACCTGTTATGACAGCAAATGCCTCATTGAAATCGAACTTGAGAGATACAGATAATTGAAGAATGAAAAAAAAAAACTCGTTGAAATGTAGACGTGTCATCAGACCTACTACACAATTGTTCATCAGCCTCGCGAGAAATCATAAATATATCTTTCCATTTATTTTATAAGCTTGATCCTAAATGTTGTATCTGGAAAATTGAAAGAGAACATGTGAGGAAAAGAAATTCTATAGTGATTTAATGCCAGGGAAACTTATATTTCGTGAAACCAACCTTAAACTGAATATTTACAAAACTATATTCCAAGAGAATGTTTAAATATGTTGATTGGATGAATGGTCAGCAAACAAGAAAAATGAAAAATGAGAAATAAAACTTTCTAAACTCATTGTTTATTGCACCTATTAGTTTGAAAATGTCTTTATAGGACGAAACTGCAGTAACGTTGTTACAAATAAAAGTGGTAAATAACAAAACAGTTTTATTTCTCATTTTTGCTGATGATCTCCTACCACATTGTAAACGCTACATCCATCAATTTATTAAACAAGAAAAAATTGAACAGGCAGATATTTTCTGGTGTTATTTCAATAATGTACTACAATGAAAGAGAGATGGCGCTCCTGAATTGGAGGGCATCATCGTGTACATATCAATTGGAAATTACTTTTTCTGACAGCTACTAGAATCCCTTTACCAACTTTTATAAGAACATGGCATGTCATGTGAAGCTGCTAATACATTCAGTACCGCAGCGACAGTTGATTAACGGAAAAACAGTATTTAATAGATTTTTTTAAACCAATTCACAAATCAATTTTGGCAAAATCAGAGGTTATGACATTAATATTATTTACTGCCATTAAAGTAGATGTAAATACAACTGTTAATTTTCTATATCCACTGCCAATTAAATATACTTTTGGAATTTTTCTTTGGCAGAAAAAACCTTACTTGCCTAAGGAACGAATATAAAATCCGTGTTACCGAGCTTTCAAAACTGCTTGTTCACTCAATTGTTAGATTATAGGAATTACATATCTGCTGAGTGAGAGGATCTTCAAAACCATTTCCGAAATTTCCCCTGGCTTGTTTGTTTCAGCTTTAAAGATCCATCTATTTGTGCTTCTGAAGTAACGGAAGTTATTCTATTATCCATATTCTTTTTTCAATGAAACGAACTTCTAACTGCAAATCTTGGTTCTACAAAAATTGCCAGCAAGCTGCCGCCTCCAAAAATCTCGACTATCGGCAGTGGCGCAAAAATTTCAGTGCCGAAAACCGAAGTAGGTTTGTTGATGCTCACAACAGCTGCAAACTTAGGATAAATGAAAGCAAATAACCTCACAATCAGAGAATTAGGGGAAAACTGGTTGACAATGCCAACGGGTCTAGATCCTTCTGGTCGGCAGCTAAAGCTGTTCAAAACTTTACAAAATCCACAATTCCACCACTAACACAAGCGGATGGTTCAGTTGCAACAACAGCCATAGAAAAAGTAAATTTACTAGCTGAACAATTTGCGTTCCACTCCACAGTCGATTTTCTGGGAAAGGTATCACCTCCTATTCCCACGCTAGAAATGCTGGAACTTACTTTTCGACAACGTCTAGTCAGGCAAATTTTGAAACAGCTCAATATCAACAAGGCGTCTGGTCCTGATGAAGTGCCCGACATCGTACTTAAAAAGTGCGCAAATGAACTCGCACCAGTATTTTGCAGACTTTTCAATCTGTCTTACAAGAAAGGGGGTTTTTCTTCTTGTTGGAAGTTTGCTCGCGTTCAACCTATTCCCAAAAAGGACAAGAAAAATCCTCTAAATAACTATAGACCAGTAGCTTTGCAATCAGAGATATAAAAAATCATGGAGAAAGCCGTAAACCACAATATTCTTAAATATTTGGAAGGCTTCAACATATTGAACGATCATCAATATGGCTTTTGGTAACAAAGATCAACAGGCGACCTTCTACCGTATGTCACCCATATTTGGAATAAAGCAATTGAGAAGCATGGAGAGTCAAGAGCTGTTATGCTTGATATTTCTAAGGCCTTTGACCGTGTGTGGCATGAGGGTTTGCTGGACAAACTTCGATGCTCTGGCTTGTCGAATCATTTTTGGATATGACTCTTCAGCTTCCTGAAGGAAAGCTCCCTGCAAGTGGCCGTCAAAGAATGTCTCTCGAATACTTTCACCATCAACGCTGGTGTTCCCCAGGGATCTATATTGTCTGAAACCCTCTTTTTATTGTATATCAACGACTTATTGAAAAAAAAAGAATCAAATATATTGCTTTGCTGACGACAGCACACTTGTCTCGTCATTCCATTTGGATTTTAGGACATCGGCTGCGGATGCACATCTTCGCTGGCAGCAGGAGGTTGCATATCTTAATGAGGATCTAGAAGTAATTTCGAATTGAGGTGAAACTAATCAGGTTCAATTCAATGTCACAAATTTGTTGAGGGTTGAAATGGACACCAATATGTCTTGGCACAGTCATGTCGCTGGGATTGCAAAAGTCGCTTCTCACAAGCTTGAAAAACTGTTCCGAACCAGAAAACTGTACACACCTCAACAACTTTTGATGCTTTTTAAAGTTCAGATCAGACCTTCTTTGGAGTATTGTTCTCATGTAGGGAGCTCCGCCCCTAAGTATACCCTGAAGCTGCTAGATTCCATCCAGAAAAAAACCATCCGCCTGATTGGAGACATGAACATCACTTGCAACTTTGATAGTCTGGAATCTGGAACATCAAAGAAACGTTTTTCCAAATGGATTTAATCTCCAGCGATTCAAATTCAATGTGAATCATTACCTTCGCACAAGCACCGCTCTTAGAGCGCCTTAAGGATTTTTCTGTAGTGCTCGTGTTTTGTCCGTAAAAAAAAAACAAAAAACAAGATGTTTGAAACTGAGGTCTTGAAGTCATGATATAATAGTAGGGGAGCCCACGATGCAAAATGGGGATTTACTCGAGCGTCATTGAGACATATTAGGTTGCAAAGCTTAGATGATAAGATGAAAAAAATGTTATATAAAATATACCTTTTCATAGACTTTAAAATATTTAAAAAAATACTGTTGCATGGACATACTCGAGCGCGTCAGATATTGATAGCATCAATGTCCTACGTATTTTTAATAATGTTGATATGTTAAACTGATCGTTGCATGATGCGGGTAGTTGTACGTAAGGGTTAAAAGTGAAAAGAAAAAAAAATAATCGAGCGTGTCAGATTTTCTAAGGGGGTGTTAAGTCACCCTACCTTAATCTGACGCGCTCGAGAATTTCTGATGATCAATTTTTTTTACTAATCTGATCCTTTATCCCTCACAGGCGGCCTTATAAATGGGGCTCATATTTGGTGGAGGTACTTAACCGGGTACAAGGTATCCCCCTGTATATTAATCTGCCGCGCTTTAGTAAATCCCGAAATCCCCGCTTGGGCTACCCTATTATAAGCTTTGAGGGCTGAAAAAAAACATAATTCGTTTTAAAGAACATGTACCACATATCCGACTTTGTATACAAGAAGAGGCTAGTGTCGGTCAACATACCTTGGAAAAAGGCCTAAAATTGAAGCGGTATGGCTGGAAATTATTCAGACAAGCACACGATACGAGATTTTTGAATGCTTTTGAATAAGTGGAAATAGTAAAGTTTGGCCTGGTAACTAACTATGAATACCTACAAATATCCCATTCTGGAGATGTCATTGTTGATTCTTATATAAATTACTCTATTCCAATTAGTGAAAAAAGTCCAGGAAAATTTCTTCTCTAATATGTAATCAAGAAAACTTTGATGTTTGATTAAAAGTGAAAAAAGTGTGAGTTCACTCTGTTGGATGTATTTAGACCAAATCAGTATTTAGATTTTTATATTTTATGATGACACATCTTGGTTGAAATCTCGTTAAGAAAATTGTTACAGTTGTGGTATGTGAGAGAAGTGAACTGTTATAAATCGATTCCCTGTAAAAAAATAACGCCAGCCGCCGCTGATCAATTTTGACGTAGCAGAGATCGCGTTCAACTCGACTTGCGCCTCGCGAGTGTTCTAGTTTTCGCGTCGCATCGATATACTTCTAGCGACTTCCTTATTGGATTTCTAAGACTTCCATTGGCATATATAAACATTAGTCACTCGCATATAGGAAAGTCTAGTAGACAGTGCGGTGCGAAGTGTTCTAATAAGGCGATAGACATTTGAATATTAATCTGAAGTTTTAGGTAAAGTGTATGGTTGTGTTGTCAGTGTAGCAGTGTTGTCAGTGTAGACTACTATCGTAATCAATTATTGGCAAACCCACGGGAAATATGGATTGGAACAATCACAATGTATACAGCCATAAAAACTTTTATACAATATATAATTCAAATGAGAAAATTTCTGGAATATAAGGTGTTCTCCCCAGTCATCCTCTGAGGCTTCTGGATTGTATCCAAAAAAGAATTATTCGTCTGATTAACATCGACGAAAGGTTCGAGATTCGCACCTCTTCTATAAGAATTCTTTCACGAAAAAAATAATTGACTTAGAAAGCTTCATTCATCAGGAAATTATTTACGAAAAAAGCTTGAAACAATCTACAATGGTTTTTTCATTCGAAGTTTGAATCTAACACCTTTTAGGAATTCTTTCAATTCAAGGAACGAGAATTTTTGGTAAAAGTTTCCGAATCTATAGTAGAAATCTAATGTAAATTACAATTTTTGCAGAGGTGCCGCTTTCTTAGCAGTATGCTAAGGAAAAGGAAAAGGCTTGCAATGACATGTATGAGAATAATATAATAATGCTCATACATGAATAAAACTGTTCCCTTCAAGTACAAACCTGATTTCTTCTACCCAATGTACTACCCTGCGCTGATTATTTGGTATTCTTCTCCGGGAAATATTCAGGTATCATTAAAAGATAATGAAAATGAAAACGAGAAAGATCTTTGTTGAGGTGCCAAAGAGTCAATGACTTACCGATTGAGTCGCCAATATTTGTAGCTCCGGTTCCGTGGATTCCAACAGCTTCTGCACCATCTTCAAAAAGCTCTCTACGAACAAATTCAAAGTGGGAGCGTGGCACGCCAACAGGAGCTGATCCATCGCCTCCATGGCGATGATGACGAATCTGTGGCGAAATCAAAGAAAATTCGGTTCATCAACCTTTTTATATTGATTCGAAAGTACATATACGTGAAACGGTAACTAACAACTAACGCAAACTTGAAAGCCTTTTGTGAATGAATGGAAAAATCGATATACGCCAGACACGATAAACCGTCCCTAGACACGTATGAGCTGAGGTTTATATTTAGGATGATATCAACAGTTCTGATCTAATATTTCAGGTCGAATGAAAAACTTAGTTTTTCAGAAATACAAAAAAGTCTAGTGCAAAGAAAATTTTCGTTTTCCTTTTCCGACCAAGTTGATGAGTAGACGACATTCTTTGTTGTTCCTTTGCAACTATAAAATAAATAAGACTGAACTGACCGATACTTGAAGAACATCCATTATAAACTATTCAAAAAACACACTTCAATGTGAAATTTCCAAAGAGAACTGATTTTCATAAAACATGTTGCTGTCAACAACGGTTACGAGGTGGATATTATTGCCTCAATTCTCTCTAAAAAATTGCAGAAACAAGCACTGAACCAGTTCCATCTAGTTTCAAAGAATGAAACCAAACATTATGTAATTCTAACTTACTTTGGTGATCCTACTAAAACTAATTAAGAAGAATGAAGATCAAACTTCAGTGTCAGATAGATCGGGGGTATACAAGTTGACTCGTGTTCAAACGTAATTGAACACGAGTTCAATCACGATTATGATGTATTGCGTTTGGGAGAATAAGGCTCAAAATTCAATCTTTTGGAATGTAAAGAAATCAATAGACTTAAAAATTCGGGATTATGGCTCAATGATCAAATAGATTTGAATTGCTCTGCAAACTGGTCTAACGAGTTATTTATAAGGACAGTGGAAAATTTCAGCATTTGTTTTAAAATTAGCTTCATTTGCATATGTCACGGGTATATTCATTTGGATTGTACGTTTTTTAGAAGATAATGTATCGAAACTTCGATAACTTATATTTTACTAGCTGACCTGGCAAACGTTGTTGTCCCTGTGTCAGGAACCCCCATCACGAGACTGCGGTGGATTTACTTTACTTTCATGGTACTTTCACTCCAAAAATAGTAGATACTTTGAACTCTTTGGAAAATTCTTAGGGATAAATTGCTGTACCCATACAACATTCAACACGTTCAGGCTGATTTTCCTTGACATGTTGCTTCCTGTCAACGGCTTATGCATATAATAGTTCCAATACCCCAATTACTGACGCTTATTCTTTCAACTGATAATTGTAATAAAAAATTATTATAATACCCATTTGTGAACCCAAGTGATCATCTTCCTCTTGAAGATGATCACTTGGTGATCGAAACACGTGTCGAGGTGTGAAAATAACGATTCGGTGTTGGGAAAAAACTCCAGTAATATTCATTACTACACCAAAGGTTTCAAACAGTACATCATAAGTATAAAAATGAAAATGATTATTAAAGATAAGCGATATATTCTTTGATGCCTGAACTGGAATTGATGCCGTGCTAGGAATTGCACGGTAAAAAGTAAAACCTTTGTAATCCTTAGCTCGCACAAGTTTCGACTTTTGAGGGTTATTGTTCGAAGGGGAGCGACAGTTGGTTACCGAGAAAACACATTTCAACAGATTTTTTAACATATCTGACCAAGCGTCTTCAATTTAATTAGGTTGGAGCCCAGCTCCTTTACCCTTTTAGCTGATTTTTGCCGAAGAAGGGCAAATGGGTTCATGTCCTCAGACATCAGTACCGCCCTTCACGGTGTATACCTACCTGGCTGAGATGGGTTGGGTGAAAAATCTATTCGTCCGTTAACGGGGGACATTAGGGCCTCATTCGACAGAGTTTCGGAGCCTTTTATATCGGGAGGGGTCGTCTACAGCATAATCTATAGCTTCCCTAACTAAAGGATTTTCGTGAGTTTCCGCACTATCAAAAACTCGCCGATTCCTCGACTGAATGGACTGCCGAATGGAAGGCAGCTGCAAATCTCTGTGGATGGCTTCATTCCGCACGAACCAAGGAGCATTCGTAATCATCCACATTAACTTGTTTTGTAATCTCTCCAGAGTGGAGATATTATACGTAGCCGCTTGTCCCCGGACACCTGAAGCATACATGATGACAGGCTTGAACATCTTATTGTAGATGGTAATTTTGTTCTTTAAACTCATTTTTGATTTCCTGTTGATCAGAGGGTACAGACTAGCTATCCGACCCTCGATCTTTGCTATGACGCACATGCTTTAAAATATCAATTTTAATTGATAAGCACCTATCTACCTACAGAAAAAAATAATTGACCTTAACTTTCCAAATGATTCACCACGTAAAACAAAACGCAATTGCAACCTTTCTTCATCTTGAATTTATTTTATCGCGCGATAGTTTTGATGTTGCGATAACTCCGAAGATATTGATATGAATTGTATGCATGTAAGGAATAATATCGTATCCGTGTAAATAACTTTCCAGTTACCACATTGTGTGACCATTATTTTGAACATTATTAACATTTCCTCAACAGCCAGACGAATGTCATCGAGGACTTTTTTGTACACCTATAAAAAAAAATACGTAATGAAGGCATGGTCTCTCGGTGGCAAAATCTAAATGTGGGAAGATAATTACAACAAGAAAATGATTATTAATGATGAGCGGGATATTCTGTGTTTTGATGTCTAAACTAACAGCTCTACTTGGTTCTCATTAACTTTACCATTTTTTCAAATATCATAATTTTTTTGGCAATAAAAATATGTTTGTCTAGCGCCTTTTCAGTTAATTTTATTTGTTGGTGAAATATTGAAACATTCCAAAGTAATATTTTAAGCATCCTAGGATAATATTTTTAGTAATGGAGAACGTACTATGTTTTCATGAATAATATATCCCATAATTAATTTTCTAGCCGAATATCAAACATACCAGAGTATAATTCAATTCGTAGGGTTCGTGCAAATAAAAAAGAGCTAGGAATCGCACTTTAACAGGTAAGAACTCGTTAATCTTCAGCTAGCCCAAGTTTAGATTTCTGAGGGTTGTCATTCTTAGGGAAGTGAAAAGGAATTTTTTTTTCGATTCTATGGAAAAAATAGCTCTTTGGAGACCCTTTGGATCAGTTTGAATATTTCCGGAAATAAAATATTTGTTGGTATGGCCTCCCACCACCTATTCAACAAATTGTTTAGATGATTTTGAAAATATATTTCCCAAATAATTTCCAAATTTGATTTTAGTGTTATAGGCGGCGATTTTCATGTTAATAGATAAATAGCAGCTCCGTAAAAGTATAGCTATTTATGATATGAGTGCGAAACGAGCGTAGCGAGTTGAGCAATTTCTCGAACAAAACAAAACTTACTTTTAATACAATTATCATACATAGTTTTTTGTACAACTGTCCTGTTCTCATAATAAAATAGATAACATTTATTATTTATATAAAACACATTTTGACATCTCTTGTCAGTTAACTATTTTCATGTTATCGCATTTGCTGTGAAGTGGCCGTGTCAGGTGACGCTGAATCACCTGGTTACCAACAAACAGTATTGTTTACAGCTCACGCGTTTTATTTAAAGTCACATTTGAAGTTCTTACTGGTGTTTAATGTCTTGAATAATGAAGAACAATAGTGAGGAATTGTATGTTCCTGACGATATTGAAGAGGCTGCAAAAAAAGTATCAATTGAATTTTTTTTTTACGACAATGCAATAATTTATTTAAATAAATGAAATACATATATCATTGAAAATTGAACAATACCTATCACTGATGAAAGAATAAAATAATTCATTAAAACCAAAAAAAAATATTAAATTCAATAAAAACTAAAAAGAGAAATTCCGTAAGATTCCAGATGTCAATTCAATTGAATTGTTACCAAAAAAATCGTCTCAGCAGTACGACATCGCATATTCTAATTTTCTTAGCTGGTGTAGACTCAAAAATGTCGAAGGAAGTTTCAGCGAAACCGTCTTCTTTGCCTATCTAGAAGAGAAAGCAAAAATATGGAACTCATCAACTTTGTGAAGCAAGTTTTCAAAGATAAAGTCGAGTGCGCTCGTTAAAAATGGTATTGATACAAGCAACTTTTTTAAGGTAATAGCAGCACCCTTAAAGCGGAAAAATGAAAGTTATAGGCCCAAAAAATAAAAAACTGTTACGTTTGAACAAGTCCAGAGGTTTATAAATGAGTCGCCAGATGAAAAATATTTGATGATGAAAGTTGCTACTATTAATTAACAGATAAATCATTGATTGTTCAAATTCTAAATACAAAAACGAAAATGGGTCGTCTTTTTGCATTGTTGGAAAAAACAATGCGTTGCATTACGCCCTTCTGTTATTAGTCATCAACGTGTTTTTTTTCCCGAAATACTAAAATTATAAAAGCAGTGACAACCCAGTTTGTATAGGGAAGTTACACCTCTCGAAGCGAAGCAGTACCTCGTCTTGATAATGCCATCTGAGATGATGGCGAAACGTCGACTATCGAATAGTACACAACGGATGAACACCCGGAAAAACAACACATCATATTAAGGTATAAATTCAATTTATTAAATCGTCGTTTTTTCTGTCACAGAAAAAAATTGTGTATTATACACAGGAAAAATATTAGATTTTAGCTTTCGGGTTTTTGCTTCTCTCCGCTTCGCGTCAGGAGACAACACAACCTCGAGCTAAAATCTAATATTTTTTTCCCTTGTATAATAAATAACTATAACACTAGTGTAAAAATTATTTTCAACCCGATACTTTGTAAACATCATCTTTTAATACTCTTGACAACCATTAAAAATGTCACTTTTAATGACAGTTGTACAAAAAATAATTTGTATCTCTTATTTTAATACATATTAAATTTTTACTTCGATTCGAAAATGTTTGAAAATTATTGCAATTCAGGCGTTTGGGAAAAGTGTTTGTTTAGGATTTATTTTACGAAAAGGCTCCAGTTTCGTCTTAAATTATAACTTTTAATAAGTGAAAACAACGATAAAAATAAAAACAACAATAAAAATTAATTGGCGCTCCGAGGCGACTTATGTTCAAAATTTTATATCTGTTTATTGGTAATATGGAAGAACGGTTATAGACGAATATCACCAACACACAAGCGTATTTTGTAAGTTAATTTAAAGGAAATAGAGGCGCTATTAGTATTATAAGTAGGTGATATCATTGACATGCTGGAATGAAATTTCTGAAGAATCAGCAAGTTCTTGGTCACCCTCAGCTGAACAAGTGATGAAGAGAAATATGAATCACCCGTTTCTACTTAGAATTTAGGCGGATAAATGAGGTCACTCAGAAAACTGATACATATTTAAAGATATTCACAAGCCAGTTTTTTTATTTTAGTTTCCATAGGACAATTTTATCTAACCAACGAATACAAAACATTTCTAATTTTGCGGCAAACACGCGCGGAAATAATTAATAAGTCAAGTTCATCAGTGGTTCGTACCATTAGGAAGGTAAAGGTAAACTCTAATGAGCAAACGGTACTACTTATTATCAATGTATGAAGTATCAAACACGACATTTAATGCGAAAACCTTGTATTTTATTCCAAACAACAGATAAACGGAAAATATTCATGTTCAACTGAAAGGAATTCAATACGCAGACCATTTTTAATACATTTGGGAATATTTGGGTCAATTTTTAGGTGGAGTAAAATTATAAGTTCTGGATTTTATTCGGGGGAATTACTGCGTTACCAAATCTAAGGAGGATGCATATTCATGATAATTGTTCTATACGTTCTCCAGAAATTGAATATCAAAGCGTATTTTATAATTCATCTTTAGAATCAATTAGGCTGCTCCTTGAAAAAACACATTAACTGGTATTGGCACTACATACTGTGTTTGGACGTCGGAGGCGGTAGGTAGAGTCAAAAAACGAAATTCGACAATTCTAGTTTGTGACGAATATTTCAAACACAACCACTGTTATTCTCGATCTGAAAAGATATTATTCCAGGAATATTAGTCAAATGAGGGCAAGTATCTCGGAATGAGGGATAGTCAGCTAGAAACTTGTATAAACCTTCATTTTGACACCCTTAAACTTGTCTCAAAACATTCTTATCGTAGGGTTTCTGCGACTACAGATATTCCAAGGTCAAAGGTCAATTTTTTTCACACATTTATTGTGTCCTATGAGTGTTATGCTATTTGTATCCAATACAAATATTGTAGAGGATTAAATTCTTTACAACTTTTGTCTAAACATTTTTTTTTATATCTTGAACCATTTTCGAGATGAAGGGCAGACCGCGCGCAGTGTTCCACTTTCACAATGGAGAAGGAAGACCACAACGAATTGCCATTCTTAGACGTAAAGAGGACCGACACTGAGTGGGAAAAATCTGTATACCAAAAACCCACTCACACGGGACAGTATCTGAACCACGAATCCAAATACCATCAATCGACTAAAAGAGGAATCATCAAAACTCTATTAGACCGTGCTTTCGGACTTTGTAATAAGAAGGAAGGTCTCGAGAAGGAACTAGACATCATGAAAAATCTTACTCTCACCATTTGGTGTTCTATAAATTGTTATGAGATTATGCACACTATTGTTGCTTCAAAATATTTTTCAATATTGCGACCATGTGCTATTGAATATATTGAAAAAACTTTTTCCTCACCAGAACAAAAATACTGTCTCTAGGCGCACATTTCGCTAACCAAGTTATCATCATCAGGAGAAGATTAAAACTACTTCTTAGAGCTATGTTAATGACAAAATGGTTTAGACTTTCACGGCTGAGGTTTTCAGTGTCATTGCTTTTCGAGTTTGAAAGCCGTGGATTTTTCAAATTTCTTCCTGACGTTTCGCTGGCGCGAGTGGCTAGCTTCTTCAGAGGTTTAACCATCATGGCTTGCTGTCCGATGACTACCTTTTAGGCTTCGTAAAGCGTATTTATGCCTTGTCAGGTAATCAGTTGTATTTGTACCTGTTCGTACCTGCACTTGAACCTGGAACATTAACAATCTTGCTGCCTGTTGTCCTGTTCGTTATTCTCGAATTCCTTAAAATGGGGTTCCATATTTGATTGAGGTTCACCGCTTCTCTTTTCTGTTAAAATTATCCGTGTGTTTGTGGATCTCTATTGCCTCCCGTACCAGTTGACTATGGTATCCTTGGTTGTTTTAGAACAAAATTCTGTGGTCTCCTTCACTAAGTGCGTGTTCTGCCACAGCTGACTTGTCTGTTTGGCCTAGTCTGCAGTTCCTTTCATGCTCTTTTAGTCTTGTTCCCATGGATCGTTTGGTGGTTCCAATATATACCTTTCCACAAGTGCATGATATGCGATAGACCCCTGCTGCTGATAATGGGTCTCTGTCTTTAGCCAACCTGAGGCTTTGTTGTATCTTCCTCGTGGGTTTGAAGACTGTTTCGATGTCGTGTTTGCCCAATAGTTTTCCAATTCTATCCGTGACCCTAGGGATAAACGGTAGATATGCGCGTGCAACCATCTGATCATGATCCCAGGAAGAAATTCCAAAAATCCACGGCTTGCAAACTCGAAAAGCAATGACAGCTATGTTAATATTTTTATATGCATCTAGACGAATCATTACCTTGCATAATGAGGGTTATCAAACTGATTTAATTAGAGATACAATATTTTTATTCTGGTGAGGGAAATGTGTATCCAATAGATTGATTTTATGAGAGAAGTTTTATTATGTTTTATTGATCATATAATTTTATTAACAACATCTTCTGGGATTTAAGCCAATGATCTCAGATGCAGCAGAAATCTCATCGTGTGAGTCACGAACAATTTCCAGATCCCAGATTTGTCAAAATTATCCTACATATTGAAATCATTATATTGAGTTGTTCGTTTTAATTTGTTTGGAGAATTTCTAGTCTTAAATTACCCATAATGTGGATCGAAGTAGAACCCCCTGTAGTTCACCCTGCTTGGCCAAATGCTTCCTAAGCATTATTATTTCTCTTTAGTTAGTTTGCAATGTTCATTTTATCGTCATTTTGTAGAAGATATGGAAAATAATTGAGAAAAAGTTTCATTAGGGGTCTTTATCAACACAATGGAGCCCGAAACAATGATTTTTATAATTGGGGTGGTTTTCAATAATACATTGTTATGAGCTTCACTCAACATTCAATATTTGATTCATTTCAATCAGTTCATAAATAAAAAAGTTATGTCAAATTGAAGAACTGTGTTAAAACATTTGTTGGAAAAAATACTATACTGGTGTCATATTAAACTTTGGTTGACTATAATGATCATTTGCGAAACCACTTTTTTATAAATGAAAAACTCGTTCATATTTTTCTGTTAGGAAATCTAGAAAGTCTAAAAAAATTAAGTCCAGATAAACAAAGTCGTGGGAATCAGAATCCTATGACATATTTTCAATAGCAAATCTTAATTCGGAATATATCAATAAATTCGACTATAAAGCTGTAGATGACATTAGATGCAAGATGCTTGGTTAACGAAGAACATTCTATCATCTTTCACCCTTGTATGAGGGCGAAATAACTCGTATTATTATAAATGTGAGATTTTGCTATTTATATTTTTTTCACTGGTTAGATATACCACAATTTTTGAAAACATACTGGAACTGATTTGATCCAAACCCACTGATGTCTTGAAGCTGTGATAAAATATTCAATTTTCAACAAACAGACTAATTCTTCTCTGAGCGGTTGCTAGCTCTGGCACTTCAGCTTCACGGAAAAATGTTCAAGTCATACAGCTCCCAAGCAGAAAAAAAATACGGAAGATCTTAGAGAAACTTGAAATAAATGAATTTGGTGAGAGTTTTTTTTTTAATTACTATAAATATTCCTCTATATGAAAATTATAAAATTTGTGTCAAAAAACTGATATACTTCTATTACATTGATGCTGGTTAATTGAAGTATCTATTCAAACCTTATCATTCATTCATAATCTTGAATGTTTCAGGATATGCATATAATTCCTTTGCCACTAAGTAACAAGAATCTTTTATCAAAATGCAAAAGGATAGATAGAATACTTTCATTTTCCCTTCTTCTTTCAAAAAAAATAAGTATACTCTACATATTTATTTACAAATATAATATCAACCTTAAATTGGCTTTCGGTATCCCAGAGACTTTTATACCAGACAATGATATTCGTGCATAAAATTGTTAATGATTTAACTGGAACATATTTTAAAAAATCTATTTGATTTAATTATGATATTCACCAATATTACAATAGACACAATCTTGACATGCATATACATAGAACTAATAACAAAAACAGTATGAGCTCAGTATATGCCGAAGGTTTTGATACGTATAACAAATTGCCTCATTCAATTCAAAGGTTTAAAACTAAACTACTGCAACATATTTCTAACAAATGTAACTACATTTATTACAAATAAGATGACAAGTCATGATGTTTGGAATATTAATTAATTTGCTCATAATTTTGTTATGGTATACTAGGAATGTATCCTATTTAGCAAATGAATGTTATTATTAATAAAAAATTATTGTATCCACAATAATCATATGATTTATACATCTGACTTTCATTTCGAGGGGGAGGAGTGATATGTCTACATGAAATGATTCACAGTTATTTCCCCTTTCATCCTCAGAGATTTATCTATTTTTTTATAGACAGTTGAAGTAGTGACACTCAATATTTTCCTCAATTTTGAATAATATAATAACACGTTCCATAAAATATTCAGCTTGAAGGCTAAAATACAAAAGCACTCACCCATATTTCTTTCGGTAAATATCCCTCGCAGCTCTCTGGTACAAATATTCCCCAATACGGTCCAACTTCTCTGGCGAACTAAGCGAGTAAAAAGTGAGTTTTTCCATGTTGGACTTAACCAGTCCATCTTGAGGATAAACAGGAAAAATGTTGTCGACGAGTCTTTTATATCTGGGCCTGAAGGCGCTACAGCAGCCACAGCAACCTGAAATGAAATTCTGTAAAACGTTGGGTACAGGTAAACAAGAAGGAATCGCGTTGAAAATGTTTATTTTTAATAGAGACATTGTAATGAACCGTGCGCTAGCACGGTTGATAATGATTTAAGTACAATTAATTACCAGTACACATTGCTAGTTATGTTTGGGGCGGTTCAAAGGGGAAGAGTTGATCTAGGATTTTCGTACTCCTAACCGATAATTGAGTAAATTGTTGATACCATTCTTTCAAACAGGTTTGTTATTATAAATCGATCAAATCTCAGACGGGTTGACTGTTGTTATATGCAATTAAATCCAAAACAACTCAAAAAACTGAGAACGAGAACCGATTTGCGTTTGACAGAAAACGGCTGACACTGACTGCTGATGTGTTGACAAGTTACAAGGTCAACTGGAGCATCTCGCGACAGTTGAAACTTGACTCCAGTGTTTTGAAAGGGGAAATTCTCGAGAACTGTCTTCTTTTAATATATTTACACCTCACCAATCATTCTGATCAGGAGTGTTATTGACTAGAGAATTGTTCAGTTTGCTTCACTTTCGACTCTTTCAATTCACTGCTGTAACACATCGAACTGAATCAACAATTAACTGAACAGACCTGACATAAATCTATTGAACAGACTTTTCCTTTGCCGTAACAAATATGCTGCTCCCGACGTGCGTTTCTCTAAACATAATAGCGAATAAAATGCAAACTTAGGCAATCGCCTCTTGGGAGACAGCATTTTTATTCTGGCAAGAGAAAAATGTTTTCAAATAATTCATTTCACATCAGAGGATCCAAATTCTGATACAGTTTACAAAAAACTAGACGTTGCCAAGAGTATAATAAAGCAAGAATAAGGTTCGGACTCTTTTCTAACTCTCTTTCTCTTCCATCACTTTTTTCTATTCCATGCTCTATGATAAATATATTTTTGAATTTGACACTTGGCACTGACGTGTATTGTTTGATAAAAAGCGTTTTCTGGCGCTCATGTAGTCAAAACGTATACGTCTGTGATTCAAATACATTCATTCTGGCATTGAAACGATGACGTCACACCAAGTATGACTTGAAACGTATTCATAATGATTCAAAACTAGCGTGAGGTTGGTTTTGAAACGGAATTTGACGTAACGTTACGTCAGTTGTTAGTTTCTGCGTTGTTTTGATCGTTATAGTTTATTTTATTATACTTTTTATTAAATACTTTGTAAGGATCTAGAAAGTAAAGTTGGGAAATCATTGTATGCACAAATTCGATTCTGATTAAGGTTAGGTAAAATTGAAAAGTTTGTGTTTATTATTAAATTTGACACAAACTGAATCATTTCATTCTGGCGAATCTTATTATTAATGACTTCATTACGAATCGTTTTTGAATACACACTCGAATACAATTGAACGTCAAAAAACACCTAATAACTTAAATGGAAGCGCTCGTGTCCAAAAAAGAAATATTTCTGTAGAGAGTAGAGACACAGTTAATACTGTGGTAGAGATCTACGTATATGCTGTGCATTCCTCTGCACCATATGCGCATTATTCAAAAACTGACTAATTTGTATTGGTGCACGGAATGATAGAAAAGTGCACAGAGTATTTAGTAGTTACAATTTACAATTGATTTGATTGTGAATGATTACAACTCAAACTCTGAAATCCTTGCTAAATATATGAGTTACATAAATTGAGAACCCAGAATCGCTTTTAATGCGCTTTTTCAACAAAACAAGAAACATTGTCTGATGAACGGGTATGCAATAAATACAAAAGGACCCGTCTAAGTGTGCTTTGTATTTGTTAAAAAAATTTGCCACTCGAAAGCCAATAATTTGATGCACTGTGCGATTTATTCCGTAGTTGATAGTGATTCGCGTTTCATTAAAAAAACTGAATTATAAGACACCTAACTGAAATTGTGTTTGGAAAATTATTTTTATGCCTGATGCTTTGTTTCAATTTTTCCCAAATTAACTCGATGGGATTGAAAACACAAAAATAGGTAGGAAGTCTCAGTATGGTGTGTCCATACTTTTCAGCAATACTTATTATTGGAATCACTACACAGGAGAAAGTCTGCGTTGTTATCACACTCGTTATTACTAGTAGAAACTTGTCCAAGGACGCCACATTTTGAACAGATAACAAAAATTAATTATAACAAAAAGTAATTATTACTGCACAAATATCGAATTTCAACACTCAAATCGCCATCACTTCCTGAACTAAACATTGACAACACGACGGCTCACATTCTATTCGTCACCGTAACATAACTTCAAATTTAATTTTATGACTCTTCAGACAATCATAAAACTTGGTTAGTAAAAATTATCCAATTCCAACCGCCACAATTTTTCAGTCTACGTGGACTAATTCGTAGCGACATTATTTCTTTGTATTGGTTTTTTTGGCCTTTGAGTTCGCCGATAGCTTTAAGAATTACTATATCAGTTACTTCGACTATATCTATCCTCGATACAGTCATCAGACTTATTTGATTGAAGATACTGTTTTGAGTGAACCCTCAGTCATCTGATGCCGTCCATTCAAAAATGAATTATTTGATACAAACTTGGAAAATTTGTAGACTCTCAAGAATAGATCGATTAGATAAGATTATAAAAAAAATTGTATATTGAGAAATACTCACATGCCGATTCCGAACACTTCTGGACGAAAGATTCGACCACATTGACGAGGTCGGGGGTTTCGAAACAACACTTGACCAAAGTCATGGCCGTTGCGATGTTCCCTAAATACTTCTTCCTTCTTCGTATGATGAACTTTTATCTCGCACTAGATTGTATCGAATACTGAAGCGAATCGGAACGAAATCGGTTTCTCTAGAAATTCATAGAAGCGGAACCGATCGTACATCTTGCGAAAAATACCTTTATAATCAAATTGTAATCGGCTGGCACTCAATTGGATTATGAACTTTATCTTGTTTGTAGTTCGAATACGGAGTGTGGTTTATTTTTGACTGCACTGTCTTCTTACATTTTTTCCGGAAAATAATAATAATAGCGACTCATGGAGACAGAAAATGGAATTGAATTTTCGAATAAAGTACCTGAATTAGTAACATTAATTTTTTGAGAATAGAGGAAAAAAATGTGGAAGAGGGGCCATATATTTTCCTCAATTGATATGAAGGCCGCATATTGATTTTTTACAAAAATTATATTGTTGGGAATGTGATCTTGTGTTTCAAAATATATGTTTTTGAGGTTGCTGAACTTTGTTATTCATTGGAATGCTTCGGAAGCTTTTTACGAAGGCGTAGAAGGCCACAAATTTTCTTAAAATGAAATTATCCTAATTCTGTGTTCAAAGTCCGAATTTATTACCAATATTCTAAGATTGATGTCTGAATTTTGTAACGAATTATTATTAAAACTTCAAATTCGACTTTATTGTGGAATTTTTAATAAACAGTGTTACAAAAACGCAACATGTGTTTCGCTATACAATAGCTTCTTCATGTTTTCCTATACTACTTGGAATCTACATTTTAGTACCTACATTTCAAGTACCTGATTACTTGAAATTTAGGTACTAAAATCACTGTTCGTAAAATGTGTTCGTAAAATGAGTTTCTAATGTAATGAATAAAATGACTTGAGCTTATGTACCAGTCTCCACATTTGATAAAATATTCAGTAACGGGGAGTTATTTAATTTTGTCATTCAGTACGTTAAATCTATTTACTTTCAAACATCCTAAAACAGAGTTTCTCAAACTTATTTTGTCTACTGTCCACTTCGAGAATTAATTATTTTCTAGCGCCCCCCAATTTTTTTTACTTTACTACATTTTGAGAATCACAATCGCAGTCATTATTTTAATAATTGAATTATGTGTGTCATGTGAAAATAAGACTTTCTGATGAGGGTAATGTAAAACACCATTTTGTAATATAAGGAAAATTTTTATTTGTGTTATTAAAGAAAACATTTCAATATTATTTTAAAACTAATCTAATGTGAAGGATGAATTTGATGATTTTTAACAAGTTTGTTAATATCAGGCTCGAATTTACTAAAAAACAGCCGTAAGTTAGCGCGTTCGATTTCTGCAACCGATTTCTCTTTTTAGTTGCCACAGCAATGAATCCATGTTCACACAAATACGTTCGTTATCAGTTCTATGAGTTCTTCTTCCAGCTGGGGTGATCCTTCTGTGTTGACATTTGAAAAAGGATCCAACACCCAGTACGGTATTTCCAATTTCAAAATGTCCTGGAATCGTTCTGCAAAATCACTGTGGAGGTTCTCCAAATGTTGGCAGTAAACAAGCAAGTCGTCGTTGTTGAAGAATAGTGCTGCCAAATTAGGGAAATTGCGAAACTCACGTCTGCCGATATTATTCTTGTATAAGAACAATTTGACTACAAAAGCAGCAATGTCATTTTTTGTTTCAATCAAATTCAAGTAGTCATCTTGAAGTTGGAGATTGACATCATTGAATAATTTATACACGTCTGTCAAGTACGCAATATCATTCTTTGAAGTGATGAGGTTGTCGTGCAATTCTTTGTCTTTGTTTTCCAAGAATTCTATTACACTTCTGTGTGAAATAGAAATCGGTTGAAATCTTCATCATTAGCAACACAAAGCTGATCAAATAAAATCTGTCATTTAAAGAGCAGTTTCGGATTTTATTGACTACTTTGATGATATATTGCAGTGATTGAGAGAGACGCGCAATCAAATTTTTCGCAACCAAATGTTGCCTATGAATGACGCAATGTACAGCGAGCACATCTGAAATTTTATTTTTTAAGGGCGCTATGAAGCCTTTGTGACGTCCTGTGATAGCCGGAACGCCATCCGTAGCAGATGATATAATATTCTTCAGTGGAATTTCTTTCTCATAACAAAATTTTTCCAGTGTATTATATATGGTTTCCATTTTTGTATCCGTCTTTAAATTTCTGGCAAATAGTAGTTATTGATATATTTTCTCATTTTCAATAAACCTCACGTATGACAACAACAATGCTTCATTGGTTGGTAAAGTGGACTTCTTTAACTGAATTGAGAATTTAGAAGTCTTCAGATGATTGCACAATGAATGTTCAATGTTTTCAGCCATCTCATCAATTCGTCTTTGCATGGAACTATTGCTCAAAGGAATTTTTCGGATAATATCTGCCGCTGGTTTATGGAGCACAGAAGTTATTACTTCTTCAATTGCCGGTAAAATTAAATTCTCTCCAATAGTGTGAGGTTTACCTGTTTTAGCAATTAGGAAGTAGGAAGCTCGGAGTTCGTCGTCGTCTAGCTCAGAAGCCGCTGAAAAACGTTTTGACACAGTTGGCTGAGCTGAGTGTTTCTTTTCCAGTTCTTGAAAATGAGTCACACTTTTGTCTTTTTTATCTGAATGCATTTTATTCAAATGATCTTGTGACCCTGAGGGTGTCATCGCTTCATTCGAAAATGTTTTTTGACAAAGAAGTCACAGAGGCGAAGATGGATTTGTGGGATTTTCAATAAATCCATATTTTATATATTCCGCGCTTCCGACATGATTTTGTCTTCAAAAATGCCGAAGTAAAGAATCGAGTATTGAAAACACAGTATTCACCACCGCACGTACAGCACTTTACCTACCTAGTCGCTAACTAAATTCATTGTTTTTGTAATATCGTCGAATGACATTACCTGCTGGATGGCGCACGCGGTTTTATATGAGGCAGCGGGCGGGCCTAGTACTTTCGAGAATGGAGACTAGAAACTTCTCGCTTCGCATTGAAGCTCACCGCCATCTATTGTACAGTTTGACAACTATCGGACAGGAAATAGTTACTGTCTAGTCCTCTGGATGGCGTTACACGAGGAAACGCGCGTTAAGCGTGAAGAAGCGGTAAAGTTTGTGTTAAAAGCAAAAAAACATTTTTAAATAAGCCATCGTCCCCTAAACCGCTTCAACGCCCCCCAAACTTTTCTGTGTTCTTTACAGCCCCCCCATTGGCCTCCAGCGCCCACAAGACGGCGTTATCGCCCACTTTGAGAAAGACTATTCTGAAAGATTGAGTTTCAAACGTTTCCCTTCCGAATGTAAATGTCATAGTCATGACTGAACTCATGTACTTCTGCTAAAAGCTGATTTGCAAATGTGGAATTGGTCTTTTCATTCAAGAAACTACTTATATGCTCTTTAATTGACTGCTTGCCATCTAACTATCACCGGATCCTCCTATGAATTTCACCATATTGTGTTAAGTAGATTATTCAATTAATATATACTTCAATTCTACAGTATGTAAATTTGAAAACGTACCGCCCTCTGTAGTTTGGCTCATATACAAAATCTAAAATTATGCAAAAACACGTCGGTGTCGCGACGCCCTAACGGATGACGCTTAGTGCTGGATCTCTACGTAAATAGAGGTCCCTATGGCATCAAAATCATCTGCCTTCACAAAACGAAATATTGATATTCTCTTTCATTTTCCAGATATTTTCCCGCGAGTTTCATAAGTAAATTAAAGAATGAAGGCAACTACTGATTAAGCTAATCATAAATTCTATTGCAGGAGAAGATGATTTTTTATGCAGTCTTTGTAATTTGAATTTGTATTGGATTGAAGTTGGTACGGTAAAGCATTATATAGTTTGCAAATTAGATATGTAAACGATCTCTTGAAGAACTCAGTTCTAAACAGAGGCGGGGTTAAGGCATGCTTATGCCTAATATTTACGTGCAAACATTCAGTTTAATAAATTATTCTTTATCAATTTTGATTTTATTTCATTGCAAAACATATTTGAATATATGAATATGGTATAACATGATTTTTTCAATAGTAATGAAGGTATGTGCTATTTTTTGAAAGCGACCTCTGAAATGAGGTATTACTCAACCCTCCCTTTCCAATTAAGATTTGAAGGATTGTGTCCGCCCCTGCTAAAGCTATAGGTAAGTTGAACGTGCATTTGCATATTTTTAGATTTTCTATAAGAACCGAAATATGGAGGGTGGTACGTTTTCGAATTGACGCCCTGTATATGTTTAATTTAATTAATAAAGATTATTATAAAATTAATCATAAACTGTTTTTCCTAAGTAGTGTATAAAGTGCTCTTTATGTAGTTGATAAGAGAACAATAAAAATACAATAAGGAACTAGTATGACATGAAATAATTAATTACCCGCACACCGTACTTTAACGCGTCGTCATTCTCGAAAGTTTTCAATGTTACAGTGTCATTGTCGGAACTTCAGACTTAGCGACGCCTCCGCATCTCCGTCGAGGCGCCCTTCATCTCGCCTTATCGCGTCGGTAACCTAAATTCTACTGGATCCTCTTCTAGATTGAAACTGGTTGGAATATCGCGCATGTGTTTTCGTTAAATGAGCGAAAATTTCGTTTCTAGGGCACAGAGGAAGACAGATGAATGCTGATTATTTGGGCAGAGCTATGATATTGTTCGGAGATTTTTGTTCCGCGTGTTTACACACACGAAAGATTTTGGTATGTACCTACAGAGTGGTGTAATAACAATCCTTTTATGGGAATATGTATGACTAGTTGTTGCCCGCGGCTTCGCCTGCGTAGAATTTGGTTTGTCACATTAAGTTTCGTGACAGACCATTTTGAACAAATAGTTACAATATTTTTTCGTTAGCCCAAAACTTCAGGTTTCCAACTTCAAAACCCCTATTTTCCTCTTGGGGTTGTAAATTCCTGATTCCCTTTCTTGATGCTTATTTACGCTATACAAAGAACCTACCTGCATATTTCAAGATTCTAGGTTCAGTAGCTTCGGCTGTACGTTAAAACAACAGTCTCAGTCAATCAATAGGTACCCACTTATACAATATTGAATAGCATCATTGTCAAAAAAAAAATTAAAGGATTGGAATGAAATACATTAGTAATCCTACTAATCCTACTTCTA